ACTTTATTCCGGGAGCATGGTCGGTGTTGGTGCAGGACCCGGTGACTTTTCACGTACCGGACAAGGATTGGTCGGGACCGAACAAGTCCCGGCCGGTGTGTCCCGGCACCGAATGAGGCCCGGTTTAAGACCCTTCGGTGTTCTACGCGGGCGTTCAGGGCTGCCGGTACCAACTAGGTTTGGAGGCATATCTCCGACGCAACTTCCGTTGCACAATGCCATAATCACTTTGTTGTCCCTACTGCCGGGCAATGGTGAGAATGTGGTGCCCACTTATATCCAGTTAGGGTACCGTCATTTTGAAGTGGCAGCGGGGTAGGTATTACAGGCCCCTTTCTAGAGAGGCCTCAAGCCCCCCTTCCCCTCCAGCCGAGCCCTAGGAAAAGGGCCCTAAGCCTCTGACCATATGCGGTGGCAAAACCGGGTCAAAAAATGGAATTTTTACCCCTATACCTACCAAAAAAGTGGGCCCCGGCCAGAGGGCTCAAGTTCCCCCCTCCCCCCTCCCCCATCAGACCCCGCCCCCATTACAAAATGACCGTCCCTAATAATACAGCAATGACCAACCACAGACAGAGAGGCAGCCTGTATACTGTGGATCATCCCTCGGTAATGGTTACTTGAAACGGTAATGGTAGAGAGTGATGACGTGGCACGGTGTCATGTTCAGAAAATCATGTGTTATTAATATCTGCCGACCGACTGATCCACCCCCGAAAGGGGACACATGGACCGGAATCCCCGTATATTGACTTCGCGTGGCCTAATTGCAACCGGACCTCGCATTGGCTTATGTTGATTGTCAAGAACAACCCCAGTCGGCCGCCCCCTCCCTGATCTCCAGCGTGACGTCAAGGATGTCATGATGGAGGCTGGCATTGCGAGTGAAGTACTCACGCAACAATGGCGGCCGATGTCGCGCGTTGGTCTGCCGCTCAAAACGTGGGCCATGTGTTTCCCCGACGTGGGAAGCCTCTGCGCCGGGGAGCGTTTTTTTGGGGACTATGCGAAGAAGCTAGCGCGTCTTGGACCCGTGTCGAGAGGTAAGTTCGGCTCAGCGCAGTCGGGAGGCAGGGGGAGCGGATTTGCCGCTGGGGCGAACACATTTGAGGTAGGGGTTGGAACCTCCGCAACTCGGGCCGGGGCGGTTCAGGCGGCTACTGCCGCCACGGGGCATGCGGCGCTAGATGGGGGGCGTGCAGCCGCGGCGCAAGCCTTGGCGTCCGCAGTGCCTGCTCCGGTTATGCAGGCGCTCCAGCTGCTGCTCCAGAACTTGCCGCAGGCCAACAAGGGCGGAGAAAAGAAGGGAAACTAGCTTGCCATAAAACCTGACATTTAATCATTTAGAGAAACTCTAACTGATAAACCCTTTGAACCTCTGATTGATATTGATAAGTAACTTTTATAGCCAGTATTTACGCCATGATGAGGTAGCATGTCATGTTAGTCATGCATGTTGCTTTGTTGTTAGTAGCTGCTTGGTAAATAGTATAGAAACATTATTTGATGAAGCACGAACTCCGAAATTGCTTGTTTCCGCGCCAGAGGCCCAGGTGCCTTTAATACCTTGTATAAAATCAACATGGGCTAGGAGGGACACCGGGCGGTATCCTTCTAGTACTGGTTCAATGGGTTCGAGGCTCTGCCAAGGACAAACCGCCCGCCAGGTTTTCAAGCAGATGAGGTCTTTGTGCTCGGTCGATGACACCGGTGTTCCTCCCCGGGCGCATCTAAATATAATCGGCCTAATTCCTATGGCACATCAGGTCGAATTCTGGGTGGATTTTAGATGCTGCACAATATTTGGGTCATAGAATGCACTCACGCGGAAATCCAATCTGCAAATTGCGGCACGTTTTTCCGGAATTTCCTCAGGATGCAGCTTGGCACGTGGGAAGGGGGTCTTGACTCTTGATTCCTACTGTGACCCAGTGATGCTTTTTATTAGTGTCTCAGACTTCAAAAAGTGTGAAAATATTTTCATGCGGGATCACTGGCCTCAAGGTGTACGCGTGGATGAAAGTGTCAGATCAGGTCCTTTGATCAGAACTCCGTCAGAGTTGTCAGATATACCGTACAGTTTGCAGTACGGCCTCCGGTACAGATGGGGAACGGGTCAGAGGAGGTGGCTACAATTGTACAATAGGTCCCGATTTCATGTTGACTAAGGGCATGTTGACTAAGGGAAAGCACCCGGGGGACGGGTAGGGTTGGCATGGGGGTTAGGTTGGGTACGGGTGCGGAGCTGGTGTCGTTTATCGGTTTAGGGTTTTAAGTTTGTTCGTGCCCCCGAGCACTGTCCGACTATACTTAGTCAACATGCGCTTGGTCAACATAAAATCGAGAACTATGTGGCTACATACACTAAACCAAAAGTACTCTGCCCGGTTGTCATTGTCAGTGAGTAACCCTCATGTTACTAGGAAAAAATAAAAAAACCCCAAAATAACGCTAGTCGATTGCCACAAACCGTTACAGGTTTGCAACATAACCCTAATGTCACCTGAGAGCCCCGGTCACTGTCCAGTGTCAGTGTCAATGTCAATGTCAACAATGTCAATGTCAATGTCACTGTCAGCGTCACTGTCATATTACCACTGTCAGAGTCACGACTCTGATGGTCACTTCGTATTAATGAACGCGTGCACACCCAGGTGCATAGCGCATAAAACAGGGCAATATTCAGCGTTCGTAAGCACTGGCATCCTATCTTCCTACAGGTCTAGGTACATGTTATGCAGATAACCCTCGCGCGTACGACTAATCAAAAAAGTCCAAATCACGCAAAACCTAACTGCATGGAAAGTCAGACTCAACTATCAATGGCCTGTCCTTCTAGATCCTTCACGCTACCTTCTTAATTACAAGGTTCCCTTGCTTCTAGGCGGCTGGTGATGCCCCCCGTGCAGACTTCGCCCCGATGGTCACTTCGTATTAATGAACGCGTGCACACCCGGGTGCATAGCGCATATGAAAGAAAACATGGGAATGTTCAGCGTTTGTGAGTACCAACGTTCTACCTACTTAGAACTGCCATGCAACAAGTGACTGGGCTACAATTATGCTATGCAATTACAGGTAATATGAAGAAGTTCAGCTAGGTATTACAGATATGCAGAGAGCCCAAATTATGCGAAGCCTAACAATATGGTAGCTAGACTACCATGTCCTTTTCGATTCTTTGCGCTATTTCTATATCGCAAGGCTCCCTGGATTCTTGCCGGTGTTGCCTCGAGTGCCTGATGCTCCCTGCTAGACCGGCAACCTTCATGGTTTCAAAGTGGAGGCGCACAGCTTGGCCTTAGTTCCGCCTTGGTGGAAGGACCATTCGATCCCCATGCCCTTGCCCGATCAGGTCCAGGATTGAGAGCCGCTTGCTCTCTTTGTAAAACGAGAGTCTGACAGCAGCAGCTTTGGTGACTGTGTAGGCAATAGGCGACCATGTCCGTGCAGGATGTAGTTCCCGAGCCAGCGAGTTTAACCTAGAGCATCTCATGGACATCGCGTCGTTCGATGCGCGCGAGTCCAGTTGGATGAGGATTATCAAGCCCAAGTTTCGATGATTGAGGCTCCATTGAGGCCCGGGAAGCAAGCATAGCCAATGACATGCAGGTAGCGCGATGAGTTTGCACCTGAGTCTTGTGATTACGATATTGATTACGATATGATTACGATATGATTACGATATTGACATCAAGTCCGTTGAGCATTACTGCAAACGCTTCTGCTGCTTCTGTTTGAGCTGCAACCTTGAGAGCAACATTCAACGAGCCAGTGCGCACTTCCTTTTCCAAGTTCGGCTTTGCCAATGAGCCGCTAGCTTTGTATGCCGGCTAAGGCATCAGCAATTAGGTAGCTGCTAATTAATAGGATATTGACTAGCAGCGAAAAGGGATGAGCCGTCTTAGATATTCAGGCTGTCCGACTCCTCTTGATCAGCGGAGTCAGTCAGCACTTTAGAGACTGCTGCGCCTCAGTTGGGGTCGAATGAGAAGGGGGCAGGGAAGTACTTTCAAGGATCTCTGAATTGAAATCCTTGAGCAGCAGCAAGCTGATTCTCGAGCTCGTTGAGTAAATTGAGGCTTGCGTTCAAGTTGTACGCGCCCCTGCACAAGAGGCAAGAGTTTCGTCTTGGGAGTTAGTTGGAAAGCGCCAACTGCCAAGTGGAACAGCAAATGGAAGCATTTGTGCAGGCGCAGGATGCCCAAGCGGTGAAGCCCGTAAGACGAGGATAAGAATTGCGCTACAGCAACTCACAGGGGCACGCTAGACTACAGAGCCGCCTTGGGGGCAAATGGTTTAACGGACCGTGTAACGAGACAAAGCCCAGGTGCGGCAGAGAAGCTTGTCTGAGAGCTAGGCAGACCTGAGTTGTCCTGAGCTTGTGCAGCAAGGATGGGTTGCATGTGCGGCACGGATGTGTACCCGGCCGGAGGAAAGCTTGCTTGTACGGCAAAAAAGTTATAGGCTTGTACAAGTGGACCAGATGCAAATATCAGCGGCAGATTTGAAGTGGCAATCAGCAGGCCAATGCGTCTCGGCGAGACTCATGCAGCTTGAGACCGTACTAGTGTAGCCTGCAAGTCAGATGGATTTGCCTGAACGGCTGAGGGTGTTTGTGCGGCAAGGGGAATCGCCTGGATTGCCCAGCAAGGGGATTTGCCTGTACTACGGCGAGAATTGCCTGTGTGGCAAGGAGATTCATTTATGGCGGGAGTATTTGCCTGTGCGGCGGGGATTGCCTGCGTGGCAGGGAGATGCCTGAATGGCGGGGATTGCCTGTGCGGCGGAGTATGTCAAATAAACAGCTCGCAAGTGAGCCCAGTGGCAGGTCAGCGGGAGATAAAAGAACTAGCAAGTCTAGCAAGGAGGGCGGAATAACTAGAGGGACCGAGCATAGAAATAAGCTAGATAAACTTAAGTATAATGCAGAACTAATGAAGCAATCACTGGCGAGCACCAAACAGATACCTCTCCTAGAAACTACTGATGACTTCAGGTGTTTTGAGTGTGCTTTAATACACCTATTTGGCGGGTCGGACACACTAATAAAAGGAGAATGCTTTGATGCTTTTGCTAGTAGTCCCTAGTAGTACTGTCTCCTAGTCAAAGAAGTGACCATTGGCACGGTTAAATTTAGGCACGGTTTACTTTATGGATCAACTGGGTCGATTCTTCGGAACCCCCCTGCGGGAATCTTCTAACGGCACCGTGATCCAGCCCCAACCTGCCTCGACGAGGCCCCAGCTAGACAAAAAATATTGTACAGGTCGGGGCGTTTTTTTGAGCGGAAATGGGGGGTCGGGGTCGCCGAAGGCGGCCCCAGGGGGCTTCACGGGGCGAAGCCCCGGGGCCAGGGGGCCCGAAGGGACCCCTGGCAGTCACCACGGTCAAGGTTTCACGCGCGCGCTTCCGCGCCAACATAACATGCGCGTTCGAGCGGTCTGCGCGCTGGCAGATTCGAACTGACTCGAAAAGATATGGTCCGCGCACAACAAAGATGAACTTCGGGCATGGTAAAGCAGAAACGCTGACAAAATCATGATGAATTTGAAGGAGTATAAAAAGCACGCCTAGCTCCACAGTACAGAATGGTGAGCGGCAGTGATTTGATGGACTCACACTCATTCCGAAATACTGAAATTCCATTAGAATCATGCTCCAATCAGTTTTTAAAATAGCCAAAACAAACCCCGTCACCAGATGATGTACACCTAATTTGTGTGGCGTATAAATTAGTATTTACAAATACTAATCATGCTTTTGGGCACCTGTAACTGTACTTTAGGTAAGCCGCAACCAGGCTGCTGTCTGCAGTGGTTTTCATTCCTTTGCCGCCTCAATGATTCTTAGCCTGTCGAGAAGAGAGCGCCTGGCCACTTTGAAGTTGTTGTCGGTGACTGGTCACGGATTGCTGGTGGCAGTCGAAGGTGCATGGTTGGGATGCTGCAATGAAACGGAGTTCTGCGGATAAGTTCGTTGAGTGAACATTTCTGTAAGAAGAGTTTGACCAGGCCCTTCTCGTACATTTTCAAAAGCCTGACACAGGCGGATCTGAGTCGCTAAGCGCTGGCCGTCGTACGCCACGTTTATTGATGAGAGGAAGCCGCCCGTTTCGTTTCACCTCTTGGCGGGACTCAGAGTGCTGGTCACGCACGTTTCCACCAGACTGTTGGGTGGATCCGCCTAAGTCTTTTGTATGAAAGGCCTTCGTTGTGGGACTTGAAGAGGTTTGGAAAAGCTTTGAACTTCATTTGAACACTGTTTCTTCAAGCGACGTTTCATTATAGGCATCTTTTCTACAATCTACAGGAAAGTAGTCCAGCAATGCTACGACAGAGCATAACACAAAACTCATGCAAATGGAACGGTCACGAGGTTGCAAAAGTTTCAAGAAGACCAGGCTCAATCACTTAGTAGAGGTCGGATGACACGTCAGCTCGGTTCCTCTTCCTACCACGCCGCTTCAAGGTAACGTTGGTGATGTTCAAAAAGGGAACACCTGTGCATGAGCAGAAACGGCCAACTGACTTCAAGCGTGCACAACAAACAGGCTAGAGTTTAAGGCTTACTGACTTGGTGAGGGCTGAAGATATGGCGCTGCAACGTCGGGTTGAAGATGTATATCTGGAGCTGCAAGAAACATAAAGATGGGACTCGATTTGCATGCCCAATGCTTTTCAAATGAGGCCCTAGGTCACCCTGCTGTTGCCGTTTAGACGGACAACACCCGAGCGTTACAAATCCAGCGCGCACATTTCTGACTGACTTCACTTCGCATGTGGCATTGGATGCTTCGAGATCGTTCAATCGTTCGCAGTGAAATAACCGTCGAATCCGGAATCTGAGGGATGTAGTCCAGCTATAAATACGTCAAACAGGTGCAGTGCTGGTGAGATCGAAATCGGAACTCACTTTGTATGGAGTTGGAAGGCGCGCTGTTCCCTTGATCAACTCGCTTTCTCTTCGTCGCTGGACCAAAAAAGAAAAACGTCACTCAGCCAAGTCCACGCACTGAAGCAACTCGAAGCCTCAAGAAGACAGATGCAAAATGAAAGTTTTACGAGGGAAGATTAGGACCAGTTTTGAGCTATGAACTTAATCGAAGGGTATACCTGTTCCTTTTTGCTTCGGCGATACTGAACTACAGCAAAGTGAGAGCGAGGAATCTCACCAAGCTCTTTGCGGCGGGACACCCGAGCCGCAGCCTGCAAGGTGGTCTCTGACAGCCCGTCCTGGTGGAAGGAGTGGGTGGGCTGCCCTTACAACTGGGGCGTGACGTGCACGACACCAGGCAGCCTCCCGTCCTGGGTGGGGGGAGAGGAGCGGGCGGACTGCGCCCCGACTGCGGCGCGGTGCGCACGACCCTGGGCAGCCCGTCCTGGTTGGGGAAGGAGGAGTGGACGGCCTGCCCGTCCGCTTGTGGCCAGCACGGTGCGCATGTCGGAAGGCTGCCCAGTCTGGGTGGAGGAAAAAGAGTGTGCGCCCCCCCCCTCTTGTGGCGGACCGACCGGAAGGAAGGGGCGGGCTGCCCCTCCAGTTGCAGCACGGTCCGCACCTCGCGGTGCTGTCCAAACTGGGGGGGAGGGAACGGAGGGGCGGGCTGCTTCTCCGGCTGCGGCGCGGTGCGCAAACCGTGGTGCTGTCCGACCCGGGGGGGAGGGAATGGAGGGGCGGGCTGCCACTCCAGCTGTGGTGCAGTGCGCATGCCGTCTTGGGGGGGAGGGTTATAAGGGGCGGGCTGCCCCTCCGGCTGTGGCGCGGTGCGCACGCCGCAGTGCTGTACGTTCTGGGGGGAAGGGAAAGAAGCAGCGGGCCGCTTCCCATGTTGCGGCACGGTCCAGGCACGACATCGGGCAGCGCGTCTTGGGCGGGGGAGGAGGAGCGAGCGGGCTGCCCCCCAGGCTGTGGCGCAAAGCGCACGACACCGGGCAGCCGTTCCTGGGTGGGGGAGAAGGAGTCGGCGGGCTGCCCCCCAGCTGCGGTGCGGCGTGCACAACCTCGGGCACCTCGTCCTGCCGAGGGGCGAGCGGGTGCACGGGCTGCTCGGGCCCCTGCTGTGATGTGGCGGGCGTCAGACCAGCCTGCTGGTGGGGCAGGGGGCAGGGATGCCGACGTCGGCTGTAGAACAAGCTCCAATCTGACTCGTCCTGCACAATTTTGCACACAAAGCCTCAAGCATTTATAGCGGCTTCAAGCTTCAGGGAGGGCATCGAATCGGCAAGTAAAAGCTTCAATAACAAAACTGGGAGGAGGCAACATATGACCGTCTGCGAAAGAGAAACATTGTGAATGAGCACTTGACAAGCAATCAAACCATACTGCCGGTCCACAGAAAATTCGCTTGTGCGAAAGCAAAAACGTGACATGGACATGGATTGGGTGGCTTGCATTGGGTCGTGCAACAAAAAGCTGTGTTTCAATCGTGCACAGTGATGATGTAACCATCTAAGAAGCTGGACGTTCTCCAGTCAAATAGTATGTTACTCAGAACTCATCATCCAAGTCGACGTCCTGTTGACGTGCTTCGCTAGAGCTACTTAAGAAACATGTGCACAGACTCTGAACTTAATGGGTCTGCTTGATGAGCCTGACAGCGGGCAAGATTGTGCATTGTTAACCTGAACGAGCAATAAGGAAAGACGGTGCATACCTCAGAAGTCACTCGAGACTTGCTCAAAGCAAGTTCTAAGCATGCTCCGTTTGTTTTCCACATTGAATGGCTATGGTCGCTAAAAGTTCCTCCTGTACAGCTACGACTCCGAGGATCTTGTTCAACACTCCCCCTTTGTTGAAGAGGTATCGATAAAGCTTCCCCTTGTTTGCTGCAGAAAAGGAAGGCAGATCATCGGAGGTTGTTGAGGACTTGCACTGTCCAGAAGCTTCCTGTTTGACAGCAATCCAGTGACGCAAAACTATCAAAGCATTCTCCTTTTGTTAGTGTCTCCGCCCCGCCAAATGGGTGTAAAGCACACGCAAACACCTGAAGTCATCAAAGTCGTGACTCTGACATTGGTTACGGGCTGTGGTTAGGACAGTGACAATGACGCTGACAATGACGCTGACAGTGACATTGACAGTGACCGGGGCTTCACTGTGACATTTAGGGTTATGTTGCAAACCTGTGACGGGTCGGGGCAATCGACAAGCGTTTTGTTAGGGTTACGTCATTTCCCAGTGACATTAGGGTTCCTCACTGACAGTGACAACCGGGCAGAGTCCTTTTGGTTTAGTGTATGTAGCCACTTTCTCTGACCCGGTCCCCACCTGTACCGAGTCCGTACCGCATACTGTACAATAAAATCTGACAACTCTGACAAAGTTTTGATCGAAGGACCTGATCTGACATATTCCACGCGGACACCTTGAGAGCCTATGACCCCGCGTGTGAAATGTTTCACACTTTTTGAAGCCTGAGACACTAACAAAAGGAGAATGCTTCGTCGTACTTGCGTGAGTGACCAGCGACATTTCAATATCCCAGGTAGGTATACCTATCAGGGAAGGCCCGGTTGTCACCCGGCAGCTCGCGAGACCCAAATGTCACAAGCCTAGGAGGGCCCGGTTGCCTCCCGGGCACGGTACAAAGATACCCCGCGCAGCCTCCGGCTGTACAGTCCTTTTTCATAAAACAGAACCTTATACGGAACAGGGCCTTATACGTACAAAACTTTCTTTCTATGTCGATCGGACGGTTCGGAAGTCCGGTCAGTACCCAGAACCTGCATGTCTGATCCAACATTTGCGGATTTGCTCCTTCCAAGGGGCTACATTCGGTGACCGGCCGAGTGCTGTCGCGCCAAACTCGAAGTATTTGTGACTACCAAAGTGAGCGACGTGCGAAAACGAATTTTTCGAACTGGAGATGCTTGGTGTGACGTTTGCCCTAAAGCCTCAGCTATAAAGCGGCAATACGATCAGAGAACGAAGCGGAAACTCTGTCGCCTATGCAGCAGCCATGGAAAACCTGGAAGCGCCCTCTTGCAG